CGGGGCGTAATAATATCTGTTCTAAAAAGACACTTACCATGTGAACGGGCCTCCCATCAGCCCTTCGAAAGCTTGCGCCAAGAGCACTCAAAATACGACATCTGCTTGCAGATGCCTTCGATCCATTCCTTGAGCTGGGGGACCGCATTGGGAACCCGAGCTCGAGCTGCACGATCACAAATATTGACTGTGAGAAAGGGAACAAATAAAACTCGACACTTAAGGAAGGAGTACACTTACGAGATGCATTCCACTTCTCAGGGAATGGCAGAAACTTGGGAGGGATCAAATCTTCAGTCTTCACCCAAATGAAGTGCCCCTACCAGCCTCGGTCTCGATCCTCGTCAATACTCAAAAAGGGGGCGTTGCTGGCTCGGCGGGTGAGATTGATTAGTCCCCCCTGAAAAATTTGGGGACTTTATAGATGGAGTAGGTTGTCGAGGGTGAACCGAGGAGACTCAATGTTATTCACAAAATAACGAAGGAGGATCACGATCCTCCAAAGAGACGGGTGGATTTGCCCAAGGCACACCTCGTATCTCTTGCAGAAGTCCAAAACAATTGAGTCTACTGGACTTAGTGTGAAGGCATAAGTGTAAATACTTAAATACCCCGACTCATGAGTGGTGATATCGTCCTCAGGCCCGGGGACTACCACGTTCTTACCTCTCCAGTTAGAGCCCTCTTGGACAATGGGAAGGGTATCTTCGGTGACACAGCATATATATCTCAATGCCCCTTCACCTCGGTCTTGTTTGGATGAGGCCTTCTTAACTTTGAAGTCGTTTAAGATCGAACAACCCCCGGGAATAAAACTTTTCATGGGGTCTCTAGGGCCGCTTCGGCGGCAGCCATTTCGGGAGCAGCCGTCTCGAGAACAACTACTTTGGGGACGGCGTCCTCGGTACCTGTGGTCGGGTGAGAAGATGAAGAGGCAGCCTGTTGAGGAACTGATTTGGAAGTCTTGGCCATCGTAAATCTGGAAAATATGTGAAGATTTGGAAAGCGTTTATGAAGATTTGAAGTTTGAGAGTGAAGATATGAGGTTTTGGGTTGAAAATCCAAGAAAATGTATGAAGGTTTGAAGGTAGGATGAAGATCTGGGTAGAAACTTAAGAACAATTATGAAGATTTGAAGGTTGGAGGTAAAATGATGAAGATTTAAAAGAGTTGAAAGCTGCTAGGGAATTCGAACATAAGAGTTACGTTCGAAATGTGGAAAAGGTACAAAAGGTCGAAGCTTTTATAGGAGAAAACGTAATCATTACGCGACGTTTCACATTCGGAGGCGACCAGCCGATGGTTGACACGTGTCCAAAGTCAGAATGACGCGACTGATGGGATATTTCGGCTCCTTCGTCGTCTCGGTTGTAACGTACGAAGGAAGGAACCAGGGAACATCTATCGTTTTCCATCGTTTCGGCAAACCTATTCTCTAGGAAACGAGAGGACTATCTGTATACGGGCAAAACCGAGGGTAACATATACCCCGATTTCCCGGTGGGTCAAACGAAGTGAAGACATGACTGCATGGGATCGTAATCGAAGCCAGGGACTTCTCGTACCAGGGGCCGAACAGAGTGCTCGCCACCGGGACCCAGAGCGAGCTCCTAAACCTCAGAAAGCACTACGAACGGTTGCACATGACTGTCAGAAAGCCGTGATATCCGCACCCGACCGGATATCACGGCGCGAATCTCGCCCGGCATCGGTAGCATATCAGTAATTGACGAGAAAGAATGATTGTTTTACCCTTTTTAGAGTTGTATTAGGGATGAAACTCCCTTACTATATAAAGAGGAAGTTTTTTCATTCAATACACATTGTAATACGCATATCAAAGCAATATAAATTTGTTTCTCTGCTTTCTAGTTATTGAGAATTTCTTATTTTAATCATAGTTCTTCATAAACATTTGGCTCCGAATCGAGGGTCCGATCGAGGGCAAAACTATTGTTAAGCTTAAATCCGAGCCCGGACTTAATGCCACAACTGGTTTGATTATTTATTTTATCTTTGATTCGTTTATCTAACATTCTTGATTACTTGTGTTGAATCAATTCACATATTCTTAAAACCGTATACAAATTTAATTGGTATCCATTTTAAGGGTAAACACAAGGTTTTTTCACCATGCAATCATGTTGCATATCTTTAACTATTAAAGAACAACAGAACAAACCCCTTATAAGGTGATTGTTTTTACATGGATAGTTGCTAAGGATGTCTGCCTTAAACAAAACAACCTTCAGAGAAGATGCATAACCTTATGCTGCAAATGCTACTTATGTGGGGAGCAACCAGAATGTGCAAATCACTTATTCCTACGTAGTTCTGTCACAACCCAACTGTGACGGCTATTCTTGAACATTTCAGGTCTTTGATGGGTAATGCCTGAATTTGCTGTAGACCTTCTAAGTTGCTGCAATCAGAAACGTTTGAGTAAAGAAAGACAGCGTCGTGGAAATCCGTCCCAACACGCATTTCGTGGACTATTTGGAGAGAAAGTAACAACAAATGTTTTAAAAATAGAGCTAATTTTTTCAAGAAAATGAAGTTAACTATATTTTCTTTAGTTTTACTTTTGTTGTAGACCAGAAATTGGAAATGAGGCTGAAAATCAATTGCAGAACTCATGGAATCCCACAGGAATAGAGAAAGGGATATAACTTTTGCTTTTTGCTAAACTCGTACAGTTTGTTTAGCACCATCTTAGTGCTAGATTTTAATTGGGATCTATTTACCATTCTCAAAAATAGATCAAAATATTCCATGGATTTGTTATTTTGCTTCATTAAAATTGCCCTGTCTAGATAGAAGAAAAGTAACATCACTACTACTCTGTTAAAACTAAGCAAATGCCATAAATTAACCAATGTTTCTAGACTTTCACGTTACAATTGGAAGGTAGTTGAGCACACAAGTGAGCTACAAGCAAGGTTTGCAGCTTTCAATTTATTCAATACTTGTACTTCATAAAATCATGCCCTCTACTTTTTTCCACTTCCTCAAGCTTGTCTACTTATTCTTGCCAAAAAACAAGGGTCATTGAAATACAATTTGAATTGCACATTCTTTTTCCTCCAGGTTTGGATACAGGCCACCAATCCCATTGCACCGCCACCCCTGAGTGGCCCTAGATTTTTCATCAAGATCAGTAGCGAGAAAAGTTTCAATCATGGGAAGAAAAGAGAGTGGAAAATCCTTGAGGTTTTCTAGTGAAGCGCTTAATTATAAGGTTGTTTTGGTTTAAAAAGAGTGGCAGTTAGTAACTTATTCATTCCAATGTTCTTCGGATTGCACAGCCTCAACGTAAGTATTTTGTGGATCTGCTCATCCTAATTAGCAGCCAAAGAATTCACAAATGAGTAATTTTATTTGGAGTTATCTGTCTCAAGGAAAAAAAATAATTAACCAAATAAAGCTCGTAATCGGCTTAAGTTCCTCGAAAGCAAGTAATATTGCAAATTTGGAGAAGTCATGTCACTTCAAAACATAGCAACAGACAAATAAAGAAAAACAAGTACCTCTGGTCCTATGTTTGCCCTGACATTATTGGCCAAAAATGCACCCAAAACCGGTGGAGCGCCAACGGTACCAGATTTACAACACCACTAGTCATATATTAGAAAACGCAGCTAATCAAAGTCCCATGTATAAATTATAAACTGCCAAACTTTCAAGAAAAGGAAATGGGAGGTCACAACTTCTACAGAGTTTATCACACAATAGTTTATGAAACGGTAAACTACACTCACCCACCTGCATAATATGATTAATTAAGTCGTAGATACACTTTTTGTATTTCAAAATGACAAAATCATACACTTAACCTCATTGTACAATGAAAATCCTATATAAAATTAGTTTAAATAATGTTTTCATTTTAAAAGGGTGACAAGTACTAATTAGTTTTGAACAACAAAATGTATATCCCTTAGTATATTAAAGTAGAATAACCAAAAGATAAATTAAGATTTCAAATAAGAAGTTCGTATATTTAAAATCTTATGAAAGTTAACAAAGAATATAAATGTTTTTGTATAAAATTTTGGTGGGTACAGTTTAATTACTTTGATAAGAAAAAAAATTTGTTTCATGACTTTATTAATATAGTGGGTAAAGTACAGTGGTATGTGAAATTGATCCTGTACAGAAAATACATTTTATTTTATTTTATTATATCTTCAACTTACCCTTTCTCTCATGAGTTAATTTTATGGACTTAAGCATGTGCTGGTTGTTTTTTATTAAGGATGACAATGAAACTTGAAGCTAATTAACTATATATGACCACTTTGATAGTACATGCTATGTTATATTATAGGAGTATGTATTCTAGATAATGAGCGGTCATACAATTCAATACACTATCTTATTAGATTTTTTTGCCGAGTAGTATAAGAAAAGAAAAAAACCGACAAAAAAATGGAGTAATATTACTGCCACGGTCCGTAGCATTCTAGATATACTACTATGCTACATTATGGTAGTCTGGAAATATTGGGATGGTGACTCATGAATATAATTCACCATACTATCTTGTAAAGTTTTTCGTTAAGTACCAAATTGAGCCGACAAAAAATTAAATCATGAATGCTGCCCATGGTCCCTGGCATTTGCAGGTCTTAATCTAAATTATGTGTAGTCTAGGAGATCTTAGGGGAGATCACCCAATTCAACACACCATATATCTTGTTAAGTTTTTGTTAAGGTACTTATACTATATAAAGCATCCAACGGAAAAAGTGAATGCTGTGATATAATTAATATCCAACATAAAAAAGGAAGAAGAACCAGAATACAATGAATAAAGATGTACATTTAATTTGAAGTAATAACTTGATTTGCTTTAATTTGCTGTATTGAAGAGTTAGGTTGATCATGAAGTTGAGAGGGTTTGGTCTCTTAATTCTGAAAAGACGTAGTTGGCTTTTTGTAAACAAAATATAGACAATTAACGCGCAATGCATGATGAGTATATGTCATCCTAACTCTCACATTCTTCCTTATTACTTCAATTTCTCGGCTACTATATAACTTCAGCTCCCAATCTCAAACTTGTCACACTCAAAAGTACATCTTTTACATCTCTAGTACTACTAATTAACTCTGAAAATGGCAGTTACCAATATTCTCCTAATTATTGTGGTCCTTGTTGCTAGTGCACTTGTTTTACCAACCAATGCAAGGAGCCTTTCCATGAAAGCTACAAAAGCCGAAGATGAACAGAAGACGCTTTTTCGCCGCCCTTTACCGCCATACCTTGGTCGCATAGGCGGTCACGGGATTGGTAGGCCCGCTTTTGGTGTAGGGCCGGGTTTTGGAGGCGGTTTTGGTAATAATCCTTTTGGGGGAATATCTAGTGGAAGTGGCCTAGGCGGTGGTGGATTAGGTTTTGGAGCTGGAACGGGTTTCGGGTCCATCATTGGTGGTGCCGGAGGTTTCGGATCTAGTGTAGGCTTTGGCAATGGCGGAGGTTTTGGTTTTGGTGACGATGGAGGTAGTAGTTCTAATGGTAATGGTGTATTTGCTGGTGGCCAAGGTGAAGGAGATGATGCAGCAATTGGGAATCAAAATCCTTGAATTCTTCACATGATATGTTACTAGCTAGTATTAATTACTAGATTCCACAAATAATAGTAACTTCGTGTTGCACTAATTACCAAGTAGGAGAATTACTCTTCTTTCAAATATATATTCGTATTGTTTTGCATGTTTTAGTAATTCTTACTATGAGTCAAGTTTGTAGTTTGTCCGAATATGCAAGTTTTAATTAAATAGTTACTGTAAACAGGTGCCTTGCAAAGTTAATAATTGCATGTAAATATTCAGCCCATCGACATTTCGCGTTGAACATGTGTACTTTTATAATAACAAAAATAATAGTAATAAAAATAATAATAATATCTTATATATGAGTTCAGTCAATTATTTATATTTAGTAACAACAAATTGATTTAATTAGAAAATTGACATGAAAAAATGCAATAATCATTTCAATGCTCAAAGTCAGTATTATCACATTACCAACTAGAATTCAAAATGATTAGACATCATCTAATATGCAAAATGATCAATTTACTTTAGTTAGTTAGATATAGTATAGAAATATGCAATGTAATCGTATCCGATCTAAGACTTCTTTATAATCAATGTTATGGTGTATGTTCTCTTTGATGCTTTAACTGCTCCATCATATCAAAACTCTTGCATGTTATCGGCGTTGATATCCCTTCTTGTAAGTGCCACATCTAATTGCATGTGTGAGAAAAATATGTTGTGACAAATAAACTCTAACATTTGTTCACGTACTTTATGTATTGTCATTGTAAAATACAAACGTGATAAAAGTTGTATTTTCTAACAAATTTAAAAGAATACTTCATTTTAAGAGATGAAAATTGATTTCTTGGTGTAACGATTAGACCGGTCGTTTTGCTTTCTAGATCCCCGTTCTTCTAAATAAGACTCCCCGTATGTACTTTTACTGTTTTATGACTTGCGGGGATGATTAGTTCGGGTTTGGAAGGGTTCGGATCAGAACACTTAGTGGGCGTTTGGACATAAGAATTGTAAAATTCCAAAAAAAAGTAAATTTATTTTTCAAGTAAAAATGGTATTTGAAAATTAGAGTTGTGTTTGGACATGAATATAATTTTGGGTTTTTTTTGAATTTGTAAGTTATCTGAGTGAAAATTTTGAAGAACAGTTTTTTGGAGTTTTTCAAATTTTCGAAAAATTTCAAAATTCATCTTCAAGTGAAAATTGAAAATTTTATGGCCAAACATTGATTTCGAAAAAAAATAAAAAAAATTCGAAAAAAAGGAAAAAAATTCTTATGTCCAAACGGGTTCTTCGTTCCTCAATATTGGCTTAAATTGGTTAAGTTTGACTTGATTCAACGTTTTGAGTAAACGACCTCGGAATCGAGATTTGACGGTCCCAATAGGTTCGTATGATGATTTTGGACTTGGGCGTATATTCGGATCGGGTTTTGGATGACCCGGGATTATTTCGGCGCTTAATATTGGAAGTTGGTGCATTGAAAGTTTTCAAATTTTTTAAATTTGGTTTGAAATAGGATTTTGTATTATCGAGGACCGATTGGGATTTCGAGCCTCAGAATAGTTTCGTATAGTGATTTGTGACTTGCACGCAAAATTTGGTGTCATTCCGAGTAGTTTAAGTATGATTCGGCGAGTTCGAAGTAAGTTGGAAGAACTTGAAATTCATAAGTTGATTCGATTTGGTTTTGGGGTGTGATTCTTAGTTTTGATGTTGTTTTTCATATTTCGAGAGTTCGAGCAGGTCCGTATTATGTTTACAAACTTGTTGGTATGTTCGAACGGGGTTCCGAGGGCCTCGGGTGAAATTCAAATCGAAAACAAATTGAATCTTTAAAATTTAGGGAGTGTTGTTGCTGCTGAATCTGGTGTTTTTGTACCTACGGAGGAAATGACCACAGGTGCGGTTGTTGGGAGCGCAGGTACGAGGAATATTCCGCACCTGCAAGGGCGCAGATGCAGAGCATGGGTTGCCGATGCGGAAATGGCCAAGGTGGCCTGGGGCCGCAGAAGCGGTCTTGGTCCTCAGGCGCGTGCCCGCAGGAGGGGAGAAAGATTCGCATAAGCGGACCCGCAAAAGCGAAGGGAGGCAGCCTGGGCTAGGACCGCACCTGCGATGGATGCTCCGCAGGTGCGACCCATTGAGGGCTTTTAATATCGGGACTTAGGCTATTTTGGTTCATTTCTTTCGCTTCTTGGATAATTTTAGAGCTATTTGAAGAGGGGTTTTCACCTAGCACTTTGAGGTAAGTAATTTCTATATAAGATGAGTTTAATATATGCATTTTTGGTAGATTCTTAACATATAAAGTGTAGAAATTGTGGGTTTAGTTGAAAAATCTAGGTTTTGATAAAAATGGGATTTAACCACGAAAATGATTATGGAATTGGGTGAAAATTATATATTTGAGTTCGTGAGGTTATGGGTAACAATTATTTTCAAAATTTTCGGAAATCGGGAACGTGGGCCCAGGAGTAAATTTTAGGAATCTTCCAATTGGATTGAGTAATTACCCTAATAGTTAAATTATGAACTTGTGAGTATATATTGATTAATTTATATAATATTTGGCTAGTTTCGGGTTGTCTGGCACCAAGTTGAGGATTTAGAGCGGATTTGTGGATCAGAAGTGAGCTTGAGAATAAGGTAAGTCTCTTGCCTAACCTTGTAAAAGGGAACTCATCCCCTTAGGCGTATTTTGTTGTGTATTACTTGTGTGAGGAGATACGTACGTACTAGGTGACGAGAGTCTGTTCGTAGCTATATTCCATGAGATGTCCGGGTAGTCTTAGATCCACATCATACTTTAATTGTACTGTTATGTTTGTTATGCATATTAATTGTTTTAAATAGAGCTGAGACTAGGGATTTTAAAGTTGCAAATTTCCAATTTAGATTTCTTATTTTTTGGAAGAAATGAGGAATACATAATAACTCTGAGAAATCCATGTCCTCTCGCGTCGCAAGTACTTCCGCGAGCGAGGTAAACTTCTCTACTCTTATGGGAGCGGGCCGTTCTGTTAAAAATTTTGACAGAGTTTCTCCTGTAACTAGGCCTATCCACCTGCCAGAGAATCACCAAAATCACCCTATCAATACATTCACAACTCGACAAAGCATCACAAGGTATATCAACAACATAAATCTCAACATTACAGGCATTATATTATCAAGAGTAATATCTAGACATGAACCGCACTTTATTTTTTAAATCATAACACCTAGAAAGTACCTTTCAAATGAAAACCAATTGCTATACAATCAAGCAAAAATATTTTCTTTCTACAATACTTTCGGCCTTCATGGTGACCTTCTCGACTTACAAACTTTGCCATAACACATTAACGTAGGCAATCCCAACTTCCAGACTTATCTAACAAGGATGACAATTAGGTACCTCTCATAAGCTAACTATCCATTAACTTCACCTCCGCTAGCTTCCACCGGAACAATAGATAAAGGATTTCCAACTACCTTCTTAGACATAGACACATGAAACACCGGGTACATGGAGGACAGTGATGGGGGAAACATCATGCTCATCCCATATCCTTCAGATTTCATAAGGCTTGATTTCCCATATTAACACATTGTGTTAGTCTCAACCGCGGTAGCTATTTTGTGCCTACTCACACATTATACGTATGCCGATAATCATATCTCTGATCATAATAATTGTTCATAATTAATTCCAGAATCTTCAATTAATCTTATATTAACCAAAATCTCGTTTAAAATTTTTCACAACACTGACAGCAACGCGTGAGGCATGAAGACCTCATAATTATTTACCCGAATTAACGAGTCACATTTAACGCCACCTGGGCACTCATCTCATAGGCTAAAACACAATATTTACAACACGAATATGGCTAAATATGCACAGAAAATACATACAAAATTATCAAATAAGCCTAACAGGCATGACTCCCTATTAATACTATAGTACAAATTTAATTTCACAAAGGGAGAATTTAAACTCATAAATTATTTTCACCACAAGGACCTCGTCCTTATATATTTTTCACTGCGGCCTGTAGACCAATTTAAATATTTTACATCGTATAAAAATGTGAGGATCTCATCCTCAACTCCGAATCACAAGTATTTTGCACATTGTGCCAACTGAGATTTTCCATTCCCTTTCTTTCTTCTTTTTAATAAATTTTGCAAATAATTTTCACAACACATAATGAACCTCATACCAATAGGGCATATAATTCATAAAATTGAGATCAATTATTCTGAAATCACATCAAAACCCACTGTAGTGAGTAATAGAAAGTCACTTTTAGACTTATAGCCCTCAATCGTGTACAAAAATAACAATGATAGAAACAGGCTAACATCATCAAATCTCCCAACAGGGATAAACATATAAGTGTGTCACAAAATTACGAAGCTCACCCATAAGCGGAGCATAATAGGAGGACTCGCCTCAATATTCAAAACCGAATCAAATTAAGGGAAATATCCCTTTATAAGAAATCGGGATCGTACCTGTAATGACATCATCTGGTGTGGTGGCCTCAGCCACACCATAGTAAATATATCAACGGGCTGGGCCTCCCCCTCTAGGGCGCCCCTACCCGCCTGTCCTCTACCCCTAATTGGTTGTGCACGTGGAGTATTAACTGAAATAACGCATGTAGCCTGAGTGGTCTGATGAAATCCATCTCTCCCAAGTCTGCGACAATCTCTCATGATGTGCCTAGTATCACCACACTCATAACAACCCCTCTGAGGTCGCGGCTGCCCGTACTGAGTCTGTGCCGGATAACTGGAATAACCACTATAAGAACCTCGTGCCGGTGGTGTACTATAAGAACTTACTGGAGCACCCCAAGTAATATGATGTGCGGGCTGAGCTGGCCAACTGCTAGAGCCTCCGCCATAATGGGTCATAGCTGAAGAGTAAAATCCACTGAACCCTTCAGAGCTTCGAGGCGTTTTGGTCTCTTTAGACTCATTTTCCTCACTTCGAACACGTTCTAACATCCTGGCAATCTCTACTACTTGCTGAAATGAAATGTCCGTTTGCAATTCTCGAGCCATGTTTATTTTAAAATCATAATCGATCCCTTCAATGAATCTGCGAACTCGCTCTCTGACTGTAGGAACTAAGATAGGTGCATGTCGGGATAACTCACTAAACATGATAGCATATTCTGACACTGCCATGGTGCCCTGACGCAACCGTTCAAACTCTGTGCGCCATGCATCTCGTAGAGTCTGGGGAACAAACTCATTCAAAAACATCTCCG